ATTCAGTAGAGCACGCGGCAATAAGTACTGGTAAGGTCCGTGGTGCGGTGGCGGTGGGTGGTCCGATCTTTAGGACCTCCGACAAAGAATGATCCATCCGCGATCATCATGGGCTCCTGCGAGATTCGTGTCGCACCATTCCTTGTTCCATCTTCGAACGATTGCATTTTGTTATTGTGCGCCTCGTGATGTTTGTAGACGTTGTGGATGTCGCAGTAGGGCCAGCCTCTGACTGCGAGGCGCATCTGGTCCTGGCGAAGGCCAAGGAGGAGGGTGTTCAGATTGTGGCAGTGCCCCGTCGTGGAAGTGCACCCTTCTAGCCGTAGCCGTCTGCTAGTGCGAAGTTGAGCCGAGGTTCTAACCACACATCATCACTATGATCATGCAGGTGGGAACGAGGAGATGGCCAAGCAGGCTTACTGGCAGGATGCTTGCCTGTTGTATTCCTCTGGTGCATGGGATCTAACAGGTGCCGGGCATCAGGATCTATGGCGGGCGCATTGACAATGTTGCTGCCTGCACCGATCCGCTGGACTGGGGTTGCTACACTGCCTGACCAGAACTCAAATCTTCCCGCAGTTTGGCCACTTCGCTCCACAGGAGCATTGCGACAAGTTCAACATCGGAGCGATTGAGGTGCTGAGCTTGGTCTGAGCTTGTTTAGAAGCTCAAGGTCGTTAGCCGTGCCGTTCTCGTCTCTCTCAGGTCTGTGCTCTGCACACGCCTGGACACACACGTGGCTCAATATGCTACCACTGTTTTGAAGCCGCAGCTCCGCAGGCGCAACGCGTTCGCAAAAACAGTGAAGATAATATAAAGTCTTGAAGCTGCCCGCCGGGCTGGTGGACGTGTACATCCGCCAAAACATATGTGCTGTAAGCCTTCTTCTAGTTTAATACTGGACATCTTCAGCATCACGGATGATTTCCTGCAGCATTCTCGTGACATCTCGTGACTCCATAGTTGAGCAACGCAGATATAAATGCTGACTGCGCTGCTAGAGAGTTGCTTCTCGTATCCGCACTCTGGCTGTGCTCGGCATAATGCGAGAGATTGGAGGAAAGCCAATGCAGTAGTCACACAACATCGGATGCCCCAACAGCCTTTCCCCGCAGAACAGGGCTTGGTCTTCACTGGAGACACCTTGTTCGTGGCTGGCATCGGGCCTCAGGGGTGACTGCATGGACTCCAGTTCTTGCGGTGAGCAGAGGGGTAGGGCATGGCATGGCACGGCATGTCATGGGTGTAACGCATGTGCAAAACATGTGTATGAGGCAGATGTATGTGTATGGTTGTGTATGTATTTTTCTGCCTATCTATCCATCTACCCATCCATCCATCTGTCCATCTGTCTATTTGCGGATCCGCCGGTCTTCCGGTCTGTCTGGGTCTATCTGTCTATCTGTCTGTATGCATGTATATACGGCTTGTAAATGCTATATGCATATATACATGTATATATGTATATACATATATATATATATATGTAAGAGAAACCTTTCTGTATAATGTGTTGCTCTGGGTCTGCTGGGGGAAGGTTTAGATAGTTTAGATAGTTTGGGGGGCCGGGC